AGGCAGGCAGGCAGGCAGGGCAGGAGGCAGCGAAGGCACTCTTTGTAATACAAGTCAGCCTCTCCGACTGCAAGCACACAGCCAGACGATGATACTGCTCATCAGTTCCCCTCCGGACTCTTGCACACTCTTGATGACACCCGCTCTCTTCCTCTTCCTATGTACACGCCGGGAAAAGAAAAGGATATATATCACATATATATATATATATATATGCATCCATCTGATGGGTCAACACCGTCATGCACGCACTTGCCGAAGCGCTATATGCATGCCCACGTACCGTGGATACGTACATTTGCACACGTGGGGGTATGCAGGGCCAGGCTCCACTGAGCTGGGCAGCATAGAGGAGAAGAGCACTTGGTAAAAGTACTGCCCTATATGGTAGGAAAGGAGAGCAACTGCTCAAACCAGCAGATCCAGGATTGCGCTGTTGCTGGCAGTGAGAGTTTTATAATTGTATAAGTTGCCACCAACAGTCAAGATCTAGTCATGAAGCATGGCTTGCACGTGAAGGGGGAAAAAACCCAACAACAACAACAAAAAACCCCCACAAAAAAACCTAAACAAAAACAAAATTAAAAAAAAAAACCCAAACCAACAACAACAACAAAAAACCTCACAAAAAAACACCCAAACCCTCATATTTCTTTCACTGCTGCACTTCCTGGTCTGGTGCATAGGGAAGAGGCCTGGGTGACTGTCTGGGAGGCTAGCTGCCTTGCCTCCCCAGCCCCCCTCCCACCCCTCTGCCTTTCTCCCCTTTTGCAGTCCAGATAAATCTCCTGGAATACGACCAACCAAATAACATCACCTCTTCCTCTGCCCCCTCCCCTTGGCCGTGGCCACCACCGGATTCCAGCCATTCCCTCCTCTTGGAGGACGAGACGACGGCACCGACCCTTCCTGCTCAGTGCACACAGAAATAAATACCACATTCGCATGTGCACGAGTATTTTTTTTTTGTGGTTATGAGTCCAGAGGGACCCTCAAGAAACCAGCGACGAACTGTCCGCCCTCGAACTCCGGCCTTCACCTCCCGGGGCGCCCCACGGTGCCGGCGCGCCCTCCAGTAGCAGGGGCCGCTCCCCGCAAAGTCCCCCCCTCCCACACCCA